TTTCTTCAAAGTTCTTTGGGGAGCAGGCTTTGATGAGAATCGGCAGTTGAAGAAGTTGAGGCAGGTACAAGCAGAATGCTGGAACATTCAAGATGCTGGAACCCAACACACCTCCATCTTAATGTAGGAGTGCCAAGCTACAGATATCTACCACTACACGTGGCTTTTACAAATTTCAGAGCTCTAATTTCAGAGCAGGTCATTGGGCTTGCACTGCAAGTTATTTTGCTCTCCAGCCTGACACAATGATTTCAAGTCTTCACTTTTTTTAAAATTTAGCGATCTGTGAAGGGTGTGGAAAATGGAGATGTCCTAACCCTGCTTAATGAATATACCACTTTATAGTGTGATAAACTTTCCATAGCCCATCTTCTTGTCAGGGAGTTGGGAACTAGATTTTCTCTCTTACTTGCAGTATCAGTATATTGGCACTGGCATCCTTTGTCTCTTTGTCCAAATCCATGTTGTAGATTTTGTCCAGTGTTGTAGATGCTTTCATCCAGCACATTTGCTGTCTTAGGTGGTAGTTTAAGTCTTTTTGAGTGGAGTGGAATTTTATATATTCTGTGAAGTAAGTCTCTGATATCATTCTTTTGTGTTTTATCCAGTTTTCCCAAAACCATTTGTTGGAGACATTGTTCTTTCCCCGCTGTAAGCTCTTGATATCTTAGTCAAACCCAAGGGCTATAAATGAATGAATTTATTTGTGAGCCCTCTGTTTCCTCGCTCTATCTGTCTATTTTATACCAGTTTTTATGCTGTTTTGTTTCCTATCACTTTTTTGTAGATTTTTAAACCAAATAATATTATATCTCCAGCTTTGTTCTTTTTGTTCAAGATTGCTTTTGCTATTTAGAGTCTTTTGTAATAGCAAATGTATTATTTGGATTTGTTTTTCCTGTTCTTTAAAAAAAAGTTGAAATTTTGATATGGACTGCATTGAACTTGTAGATTGCCTTGTGGACATTTTAATATTATTAATTAATATCATTTTAATATTATTAATTATTACAATCAATGAACATTGAATACATTTTCATTTATTTGTATTTCCATTTTTCATCAGTGTTTTATAGCTTTATAAAGCTTTATGGTCTTTCTTTTCTTTGCTTAAATTTATTTTAAGTATTTTTTTTTCAGAAATCATCATTGAAATTGTTCTCTTTATTTCATTTTTGAGCAGTCTGTTGCTTTTGTGGATTCTGAATGAATAAAAACTAGTGACAGGAATCAGTGGTTAGAGAATGGCAGTGACAGTCAGGAGAAGGCTTTGTTCTCTCAATGAGTCCCAAGATTGAATTTTAGGGAGGTGCTGCTGAACAGTCATGAACCTGTAGAGTGTTTGGGGGATATATGGGCATTATTTATACCAAGGAAATGTAGGGGAAATGTTAGCCAGAAATAAAACAGAGGGTGGCATCAGAGTCCATCAGTTAAGAACAGGCAAATCATGAAATAACATCAACAGAAGAGGCAAGGGGACAGAGCATGGCAAGCATGACATGAGGGCTTCTTACTAACAGTGTCTACTAGTGTTATGAATAACTATCTAAGCCTTACAATAGTGTCTCTTATTCAAGTCAGTAGCTCAAAAGAGAATGCCCTGGTGCTCATTAAAGTGCTGTGTAAAACTTTCCTGTAAGGCATCCGCTGAAATCAAGATGTCCTAAAGAACCTTGACAATGTTTCTTTTGAGTGCCCTCTTCAAAATAGAGCAGAATAAATAAATAACATATAAATAAATAAAAATTATTAAATCTGAATAAATATTCAGAGACTCTGCCCTCTTCTCTCTAAATTATATTCAACTGGCAACGCCTAGCATTCAGTCTGTATCTCTACTTTATAGCTGAACTTGTAGTTGTTTGCCAATTCTACTCTCCCTAAAAGTCCATTACCCTCTTTTCAAAGTCTATCCTTTTCAAACTTTATTCTCTCCTTAAACCGTCTAATTGCCCTGGTTCCCTTCTAAGAATCAACTTTCCTATTTTATTAAAAAGAGAGGAGTAGATTCCCTGCATTCTGCCCAAAGGTTGCCCATGAGTCTCAGCATCTACATTGATAGTCTGCAGGGCAGAGCTTTTCAGAGGTCCTCTGTGTCAGGCTCCTGACTTGTTCCCTCTTTTCTCCTTCTTCTGATGTCCAGCCTCTTTGCCTTTCTGGATAGGAATTGAGCATTTTAGCAAGAGTCCTCCCTCTTGATTAGTTTCTTTAGGTGTACAGATTTTAGTAGGTTTATCCTATATTATATGTCTATATGAGTGAGTATATACTGTGTGCATCTTTCTGCTTCTGGGATAGCTCACTCAGGATGATCTTTTCCAGATCCCACCATTTACCTGCAAATTTCATGATTTCCTTGGTTTTTTTTTTTTTGTTTGTTTGTTTGTTTTTTATTGCTGAGTAATATTCCATTGTGTAGATATACCACAATTTGTGCATCCATTCCTCCACTGAGGGGCATCTAGGCTGTTTCCAGCTTCTGGCTATTACAAATAAGACTGCTACAAACATGGTTGAGCAAATGTCCTTATTGTGTGCTTGAGAATCTTTTGGATATATGCCTAGGAGTGGTATGGCTTGATCTTGAGGAAGCGCTATTCCTAGTTGTCTGAGAAAACGCCAGATTGCTTTCCAGAGTGGTTGTACAAATTTACATTCCCACCAGTAGTGGAGGAGGGTTCCCCTTTCTCCACAACCTCTCCAGCATGTGTTGTCTCTTGAGTTTTTGAGAATCTTAGGAAAGAAGTGGGAAACAGTAAGATCTGGAGAGAACAGGAACTCCACAAGGAGAGCAACAGAACTAAAAAATCTGAGCACAGGGGTCTTTCCTGAGACTGATATTCCAACCAAGGACTATGCATGGAGATAACCTAAGACCCCTGCACAGATGTAGCCCATGGCAGTTCAGTATCCAAGTGGGTTCCATTGTAATAGGAACAGGGACTGTCTCTGACATGAACTGATTGGCCTGCTCTTTAATTACCTCCCCCTGAGGGGGAAGCAGCATTACCAGGCCACAGAAGAAGACAATGCAGACACTCCTGATGAGACCTAATTGACTAAGATCAGAAGGAAGGAGAGGAGGACCTCCCCTATCAGTGGACTTGGGGAGGGGCATGCGTGAAGAAGGGTGTGGGACGGTGGGATCGGGAGGGGAGGAGGAAAGGGTTTATTGGGGCATACAAAGTGAATAAAGTGTAATTAATAAAGAAAAAAGAGAGAGAGAAGAGTAGCCCAGTATATACACGTCATTCCACTGCCAGCTCCACACTGTGGTCTCTCATTGTCCCCTCAGCATGCTGCAGATGGCCTGTGGGGCCTCCCAGATGAAGGCTAGCCTTCCAGCTGTGCTCTCAGTCTTTACAGCCATGCTCTCTCTTGCTCTCACTCTCTCTTTCTCGCCACTCTGCATCTTTAATGTCTATTCTCTTTACTAAAGAAATCACTTTGGGTAATCTTTGAACCGGATGTTGGCAGCAGTCCTCAGAGAGCACAGTCTTAGTCCACCTTCAATAGCACACATTTTCTGCCCTCCATCACAACAAGGAATCACATGTGAAGGATATGCCTCACATCCTACTTTCCTACTCTCTCTTCAGCCACTTTACTTAATTTTCCTCCCACTGCTTCACTAAATCACCCTGCCAAGGTTGCCAATGACTGCCATTTGTTCTCCATCTCAGTCTCTCCATGTTGACAGTATTTAACACCTATGATTTTTTTTCTTTCAAAATTACTTTTGCTGTTCTTACAAAAACTTTTTAAAATTTTATTTTGGCTTTTGCTTTTGTGGGAAGGGCTTCACTCTGTACTTTCAACACATGGCTGGTTTTTAAAATATCTTTATTTTTGGCCTCTAAGACTGATCATCACTGATCCGTCTTCCTCTCTCTGGTTTCTCAGCATTGCCCACGTGTTAAGTAATCATTTGTGTACTCAATGTAGAGTCTCCAGTCTCCAGGTGTCTCTTCCACACTTGCCCTTCTTCTTCTGGCTCTCACTCAGATCTTGCTTTCTCCTCACTTATTCCATTAAGTCTACCATAACCTGTATTGTTCCCGGGACAGTATGTCCACTGCAGTCCTGGGACCCTTCTCCTGCTTGATCTATTATTCTGAATAGATTCCTACCCAGAAGAGCATCATGGCTTACTGGGTCTTCCTTCAAGCGTCTTCTCAAATTTTGCTTACTAGAGGCCTATCTTGACCATCATTACGTGTATACACACCATCATTGTCCTGTTATCCTGCTTAATTTTTCTCCAAGGTTTCTCTCATCACCTGATATTTTAAGTTTCTGTTTGGTCTTCTCCCACATCCTACTTAAAACTCCATGAAAGCAAGGACTTGTTCTCCTATTACCTATCTACGTTGGTACTTTGTAGATGCTAAATTACTGTGAGAACCTTAGAGCTGTGTTTTAGAAAGCATCTCCATTTCCTCAGGCAAGTTGCAGAAACAGATAAGCATGGAACGGAGTTACTACAATGGGTCCAGGAAAGCAGTTACTAAAAACATTGAAGCCTGAAAAGCCAACAGAGCAAACAGTACCTGCGTCACTGCTGGAGTGAATGGTCAGATCCTCTCAGCGTTTAAAAGAAACTTCTGAGCAGTTTGAAAATCCATAAGCTTGTTATCTATTTGTGCTCCTTGAATCTTCCTATTTGATGAAAGTCATTTAAAAAGCTAAATAAGGCACTGAAATAAGTAGTTCTCTATTGGATGTGAATTACTCTTGTTTCGAACATAGCGAGCCTTTGCGGTCTCTACCTGCTGAGGCTTTGCTCTTATCTGAACACAAAGGCCATTGGTTTCGGCTTTGCAAAACTGCAGAGCGTTATTAGAGCTACGTTGGGTCCTTTAGCCTGTCATTTTGATTTTCTTAAATGCGTGTGGTTGGTGGATGGCTCAAGGAAGAGAACCGCCTGGCTCTGGGAGGGTGGACGAAAATAAACGCAAACAGCTGCCGCTGATTGTGAGACCGCGCTTGGCTTGCAGGTGCTGGACCGCGGCGGAGAGTCGGGAGGAAGACCGCGGGATCTCAGCCAGCCCCTACGACTACAGAAGGCTCCTGCGCAAAACCTCCCAGCGCCGGCGCCTGGTGCAGCTCTAGCACACCTACCGAGCTTCGGAGAGTGTGGGACCAAAGCAACAGGGCGTACGCGGAAGCCAAGGGCGCTGAAGCCTCCGATGGCCTGACAGATCTTGAGGTCCAGATCTAGCAGAATCTTAACCCTTTGGATAGTTGCAAATACTGGTCCTCGGACGTCCCCCACCCGCCTGTCACACCACCCCCATTCACCTAATGTATCCCCTTATTCAGCTGTTCGTGATTTGGGGCACCCACTGTGCCAGAGCTGTCACCATCCCTTTGCTCGTTTTAAAATGATTTAAGAGATTTCTTCTTTCTCAAAATGGCTTTCCCGGGACCAAATGTCAGTCTCTGTTGGTTGGGTACGCCAGAACATAGGCAAGGTGGGAGTGGAGCGAACTTCAAAGGTGAGCTCACCTCGAACTTGACTTTTCTCCTCTCTAGATTATTAATAATACTGAATAAAGTAAGCATCCAGGAAAGCCTGGGTTTACACGGGTTTGCTTGCCTTGTGCCTTGGGGGCCTCTGTCTCTGATATCCAGCTGATCTGGCAGCAGGAGCTGAGATGACTTCTGTGTCCATCAGCAAATCTTCACACACACACACACATACACACACACACGCAAGCACATACACACGCAGGCACACACGCACGCACGCATTTGGCCCCAGTCACTTTAAAGCACAGTCTAGCTTAAACTTTACCTAGAAACGTGGACCGTAGATAAATCTTCAAACCTCGTCACTCAGCCTTCCCAGTACCATGCTGGCAGTGGTCCTCAGACTGTGAGGACTGTTCAATTTGAAGGTCTTTTACTCTGCAGATTTGAAGTAATCCTCCCCTCACTGGAAGTTGGCCATATAAAAATGAACAAAATGGCAGTGGGTGAGAGGCAGAAATTTTTTGTTTGTTTGTTTGTTTGTTTGTTTTTATCACTTTGGGCTGTGAAAGACAGAAAGGAAGAAAGAAAGGAAGGAAAAAAAGGAAGGGAAGAAAACTTCCAGGTTTTCTTGACAGATACATTCCAGGTCTACACCTAGATCAGGTAAAGAAGGTGCAGGCAGGAGAACCAAACAAGTTCTGGTCACATCAGGTTTTAGTTCCTGATGCCAAAAATACCAAAGCAGAGGGCACTGACAACTTTTGCATCCCAGCCTCTAAAGCAAAGAGGGGCTTGTGTAGCCCCCACATTTACAAATGAGATCTAGGTAAGGAGAGGCCTCCTGTTGTGACCAGACCAGCAGTGCCCTCCCTCCCTGCTCCTCCCCTAGATAGCTCCTCTCCAGTTTTGGGCCAGACAGACAGAACAGAAGAATTACCCTAACTGTGCCAACCCCCTGGAGTGGCAGGACCTGTACCTGGCACAAGAAACCGGAACAGCAGAGCTTACAGACTGACACCAGGAAAGCAGGAGTACTGCCAGGGCTGGCTAAGGCTCCTGCTCCCCAGCACTCCACCTGGAGCAGGTGGAGAGAAGCCCTGCCAGGCTGCCTGCCAGACCTGTCCTCTAACCCTGGGTTCCAGTGGACCCCGCACAGCAGAGTCCTCCCAAAAGTGTCTGCAAAGGTATATTCAGTTGCTGAGTAGAGAGACAACAGAGATCTCCCCCCACCCCCAGGTTCAGTAAGGCTGATGTGGGAACTAGCCTGCCCTCCATGGAAGATTGCAATGTTGTTGTTTTCATCCCCCTTTTTTCCTACCTATTCTTTCTCAGTCCCTCAACATTTAAGCACCAAAAGAACATGGGAGAAAACCTGTGCCAAATACCCTTCTTTGACTTCACCTACCACAAGGATTTCTGGGTGCACGGTGGACAAGAAAAAGGTCATCCCGTGAAATCTTCCTGTGGGCTATGCTGGAGATTCTGGTGTGGGTCTCCTACGTTAGAGGAAAAGCCTCCCCCAGCAGCAGCCTTCCCTTCCCAGTCTGTGCTGCCTCCTTTGTGAACTAATGACAGTAATTATTACCTCCCTGTGCTCTTTTGTTATCACCAACCAGGAGCAAAGGGAGGGGGGCTCTATGGGGAAATGAAAAAATTTACAAAGCAAATTACTATCGAGGAAGGGATTGATTTTTAAAAGACAAACTCAATTCCAACCTGCGTCTGAAGTGGCAAAAAAATAAATAAAATAATGTAAACCCCATTAGATTTAAAGATACACAGAGCTGTGGAATTCAGTTACCGTTTTTTGAAATTCAAGTACCATTTTAAGTCATTGTTTTTGAGGAAGTTAAATTCAGATGTTGAGAATCTACCCTCCTCTTGTTTTCATCCATTTCTTCCTTGAAAGGTGTGTGTGTGTGTGTGTGTGTGTGTGTGTGTGTGTGTGTGTGTTTACGAGCCTTTTTATTTCCGATCACTCATCCATAGTAAAAAGCTTCAACCCCAGCCAGCTGGCTTGAAGAGAATTATTTGCAGGGTTTGATATGGATTTAAACAAAGAACCGTCTCTCGCGGAATCGTGTCTGCAAGGCTGGATGGAGTGAGCACCCAGCAGACAGGAGCCAAGTTTTCTGCATTCCAGGAGCTGTTGACGCTGCCAGCTGAAGCGACCAGACAGGGAGTGCTCTAAAGGCTGACCATGCTGAGGCCTAAGGTCAAGATAATTGCCTTCCCTTAGTACACTCCTGCTTCTCGCCAGCGCAAGCTTAGAGACACGCATGCCTTGGGCAGCGCCTCAACAGCGCCAATTGCATCCCCGGATCCCCCGGCCTCAGTGGGCATTCCTGGCCCCCTGGATTTGGGCGCACGAGAAGAAAATAAAGCCTCATAGACAGAATGCGCTTGGAGTCCCAAGCCTTGGGCGTCTTCACAGCCACCTGGGGTCAGAATCCCTAACAAAATAAGTAACTGTGATCACCGAGTCGAAGATTCGAGGGCGCCTGCACTGGCAGCAACTTTGTTGCCTCGTTTAAAACTCAAAAGAAGGAAGAAAGAGCTGTGGAGATGGTGAAAACTGCAGGTGCTCGCTCAGGGAGCACAGGGAAGGAGGTCCTAAATGGCTGAGAGCAACGCTTTCCTGCCAGTCTTTTTTTTTTTTTTGGGGGGGGGGGGGGGGGGGGAGGGGGCTCTCTGTAAGCCGTGGGTACAGTTTAAGCGCAGGAGGAGACAAAGCGAACTTCAAGGGCCCCAAACCCTCAAGGTGCCGTCCCTGTGTTTAAGAGCCTTTAAGGAAAGGAAAACAGAAAGGTTTATTTCATTTCCTTTATTAGAGAAAACAGACTACTTCTCTCTGGGCCTGGAGTTGCCAATCTTAGGTTCCTGGGCACCCACTCACGGTAAGGGCTCCCTTTGGAAAGGGATTTGAGTACCCCTGGAAAGATGCCTTTTCTCCTGATATCTGGAAAGTCTGGTTTGCTTACTTCGAAACCGCCCTCCCCGCCCCCCGCATCCCTCCTGTGCACACGCTTCCTCAAGTCACGCTTAAGCAGCAGGCTCTATATGCCAAGGTCACCATGGACCTGGACCCTTCCCCCACCAAAGGTAAATTCTGTAGGCTGTGTCAGCTCTCCCCCGCTCCCTTTCAAGAAGTTTCTGTTCGTTTTATTCATTTAATTTTTCCCAGCCTGCGGTCTTCAGTGATAGACTCCAGCGTGGATTTTAATTGCTTCAATCAGCAGTCTTTCTCCTCAGCCGTCAGTCAAAGCCTGGGCAGTGGGTCTGGGGACCCAGCACACGGCTGCCCAGGAACCGTGCGCCCCCAGGCTGACTCAACTCAGCAGGAAGGCATTAGGCTCTGCTAAGGAGTTGAGTCCGTTGGCACGTAGGCGGCCCACCTTCCTACCCGCCCTGGGTACCTCCTCCACACTCAGGAGCTGCGCGTGAGTGTGGCCAGGTGGCCTGAGCTCTTGAGGTCACAGCGTCCTCGGCACAGGCTTGGAGGAAGGCGGGAGCGAGAACCGCTTTTGCTCGGCTTCAGCCAGAGGCAGCCCTCAAACAAAGAGCTGGACGACGCAAAAGCAAAGCGGGCCGCGGCCAGCCTTAAATCCTGCCAGGGTCTCGGGGCGCCGGGGTTTGCGGAGGCCCGCGGGCCGCGGCAGCACCCTGGACAGCGCGGGCGGGCGGGCAGCGCGGGCGGCGCGGGCGGCGGGGTCGGCGCCGCGCGGCACTCCTCCCTCTCCCGCCACTGACTCACGACCTAGCCCCCACCTCCACTTCCCTCCCGTCCCTCCCTCACCTCCCCACCGAGCTCCCTCTCCCTAAAAAATCTCGTGGGCACTTTCCAATCTCCAGACTGCGAGCATCGCGGAGACTTCCCTATTTAACCTGGGCAGAGAGCGCAGACGCGCGTCCCCTCGCCCTGACTCGAACAGCGCACGAACACGGGCGCACGCCGACAGCACGGCCACTGTCCCCGTGTGACACCCATCCTCGCCGCCCGTCCCCGCGCGGCGCCCGCCTCCCGCCACACACACACTCACGCGAGCACGCAGGCGCGTGCGGGGTCGAGCCGGAGGCAGTGCGCCCCAGCCACTCGGAGGCGGCCGGCGCCGGAATCGCAGAGCCCATGGCATCCCCCGGCTCCGGCTTCTGGTCCTTCGGCTCTGAAGATGGCTCCGGGGACCCCGAGAACCCCAGCACAGGTAAGGAGGACCTGCAGCGGGAGAGCTTCGCGGCGGCTCGGGTTTGCGGCGCCGAAGTTATCCCCGCGCTTCGCCCGGCTCTCTAGGTTAGGTCCGCCTCCCCTCCACCTCGAGGCCATTTGTCCCCGGGACAGGGCCCGGGGCCTCGCCCCTTCCCTTAAGCGCAGGCTCCCGAAGGACCGCAGCGCCTGCGGGGGTCGAAAAGCGAGGGGCCAAGCTGGGCTTGGGGACGTCTAGACGCTGAGCGGGAAGGAGCAGGGCGGAGAAGGACGCAGGGGGAAGGACAGAGTTTGGGGTCTGAGGGGCGAGCGCGGGGTCCGGGGAGGCACGCCGCCGCGGGGTGGGACGGTCCGGAGCCCCGGGCCCCGCAAACGAGCCTCCGCGCGCTGCTTCCCGGGACGACACTGCGTGGGGTCCCTCGGGCCCCGCTGCGGGAGCAGAGAGCCCGCGGCCGCTCGTGGCGTCGGCGCGGGTCCGCAGACGCCACCACCGGGGACGCGATCTCTCATCCTCCCGTCTGCTCTCTTGTCGCTTCGCTCCCCCCTGCCTGGCGGTGGCAGCGAGAGCCTGGTGCCAGGTAGCTCAGAAGTTCACGGGCGGCCTCGGGAACAAGCTGTGCGGTGAGCGGCGGGGCTGGGCGGGGGACGCGGGGGGCGCGGGCGGCGCAGGGGGCTCTGGGGGCGCGGGGCGGGAGCCCGCCGGGTGCCGGCGCCGAGCCGAGCCCTGCGCTCTCTGTCCGGTGCAGCTCTGCTCTACGGAGAGTCCGAGAAGCCCGCGGAGAGCGGCGGGAGCCTGGCCCCTCCGGCCGCCGCCCGGAAGGTCGCCTGCACCTGCGACCAAAAGCCCTGCGGCTGCCCCAAAGGGGAAATCAACTACGCGTTTCTGCACGCAACAGGTAAGGGCGCCCGCGGCAGGACCGCGCCCCGCCCGCCCGCGCCTGACCCCGCCGCGCCGGTGGAAGGCGGGGCGCGCTCTCCGAGAACCTCCACCGAGCCGGGGGTCTGCGAGCTGGAGCGCCCCGAGAAGAGAACCTGCGCTGGGCCTTCCCCAACCCGAGTTGGTGGCCACAGCGCGCTGCGCCAGAGCGGCCTGGAGAGCTGGGGGTGGCCAGGGCAGCGCGTGAGCCAAGGTCCGCTTCTTGGCGCTGCCCAGCCTGTGGGTAGGACAGATTTCCAGATGTCCTGCCAAGTAACTGCAGGGATTTTTAGGTGTTCGATTGGATCCAGAGTAATTTCTAACCGTTATTTCACTGAGGAACCATTCTGTTTACGTGAGCTCTAGGCGCTAAATTTTACATGCGCATGCAGGACTCCCGGGCTCCCAAACAGCGAGCGAGCGCGCACACACACCCCAAGATTGCCCAACTTGGGCAAGATCTGGCCTTCAAAACCCAGAGATAATAATTTGTCATGATCCATTTTTCCTGGTTTACCTGAAGGCCGTTCTCAAATATTTTCGAGGTGGAGTATCGGCAAACAATTAGGATGATGTACTCAAATAGACCATTTAGGACAAACGCCTGCGAAATAGACAAGCTGAGCCGCTCTGTCCGGAAAGGAGCAAAGCAGGCAACACAATATGCTACAGCTAAAATACAAACATTCATTCCGCAAGAAGATGTTATTCGCTTTTGTTTCCAGGTGCTGCGGTTTTGTTTGAGACAGGACATACTCACCCTCAAACCCAATCAGGCCTCCATCTCCCAGGGACCACCGCCCACCCTTGCATCAGCCTCCTTAGCACCGTGATTCCGGGGCTGATAAGATTAGTTCCAACGGAAATTGGCCGATCTGTAATTGCGGTAATCTAAAGTGTCCTTTCCATTTCGTTCTTCAGACCTGCTGCCTGCGTGTGAGGGAGAAAGGCCCACTCTGGCATTTCTGCAGGATGTTATGAACATTTTACTTCAGTATGTGGTGAAAAGTTTCGATAGATCAACTAAAGTGATTGATTTCCATTACCCCAATGAGCTTCTTCAGGAGTATAATTGGGAACTGGCAGACCAACCACAAAATTTGGAGGAAATTTTGACGCATTGCCAAACAACTCTAAAATATGCAATTAAAACAGGTATTGTGCAAGCAGCAATAATAAAGCTTTTTTTTTTCTTTTGCAATTTTCTTTTTTTTTTTCTATAAAATCGTTTATGTTACGTTGGGTCGTGTCGTTTTCAAAATTGCAAAGTTACATTGTTTAAAAATAGACTTTATTAGAGTGATGCACCTACCTTGTCAATAACAGAGCTGACAATCAACTGTCAGATCGGCACGGAGATTAATCAGATTAATCAGAGGTTGTAGAAGCAAACATTTGTCAGCAGGGGCCAGTAGAAACAACCCAATATGGAGAGAGAAAGGAAATGTGGAAAAGAGAGCTAAAGAGGCGACCCAGTAAGCCTGAACTCCAATGTGCTGCTGGCAATTTTCTTGGCACAGCACCAATCAAGAACCCGAGCTAACCAACCTATACAGTCTTCAGGCTGGAGGGAGAATGTTGCCGGTTGTTTCAAATGACTAACTTTAGATTTGAATTTCAGTTTTCCTCCTGTTTGAGAGAAGTGTGGAAACACACACACAACATAAACCAGCTCAGCAGCGCAGCCCTATTACACAAGGATTTGTCTTTTACACAGCTATTGTGTGTGTGTATGTGGCATATTTAGGGGTCCATTTTTGTTATGCTCTGTTGGATTCTCATATCTCCTTTAAGAGAGGATAAAACGATCTTGTAACTCCAGGTGCAACACTGGTTTGAGCGCCTTGAAAGCTTTCTTCCACTCGGGTCCTTAGTGTCCTGCTTTCCCCCTACATTGTCTTGATACAGCGAAACAGATTAAAGTGATAAATATGAAGGCTTTCTGAGGCAAAGGAGGAAAGGCTTAGGGATCTACAATGATTTGTAGAATCAACAAGATTTCCTACCAACTAATATGTGAACTATTAAGTAAGCATGAGTTAGCAGGCACACATCATAGTATGCTGCCATTTTGTGGGTAATTCATTAGTCTAACAAACAACAAACATCTTGAGAATTTTGCGACAAAAACAGTTGAGCCCTTTCTCCCCCTGAGCATTCTTTATATGATCAGAGAAAAAAAGGTTTTCATAGAAACCTTGGGAAACTGACTTGTTGTCTAATTATTATCCACTTCGTAGACTTGGAAATAGACATGAGGAGAAATGAGTTTTTGTTGGTTTCCAAGGGTTATAATTTTTGGACATTTATTAGATAGTATCAGTTAGTCCTCCTGAAAATTCAATAGGATATACACGCCAGGCGTGAAGCCGCTCGGCTTGCCTTCTCTTCCGTATCCATCCATGCAAACTTAAGCAATGCTTTCAGTTCTTTTCCACTGAACCCACCCCCTACACCTGACATTACACACGCTTGTGGAAAATCACTACCTATTGTTTATGCTGCTCACAAATAAAAAAAAAAAAGAATGCATGCTTTTTAAAAACATCTTTGTTCTTAAAAGCTGCTAGTCTTTGAAATGCAATTTAGAGTTAAGCTAATAGGAATCGCCAGTCAATGAAAGCAACAGTTCTGTGTATCAATGCTCTATTTACCAGCAGGGGGAATAAACGGACCGATTAAATTCCTAGATTTTTTTGCTACAAATTTTTAAACTGTTAGTCTAATGTTGCTGTGGTGCGTTTTATTTAAAGTAAGGATAAAAATCTGATGGATTAAGATGAATATCTCAATATTACTCGTGCCGTGTTTTGTCTTTTGCTCATATATTTCCAAATAGCACTTTAAAAAAAAAAAGACATTAGTAGGCAGCTTTTGTCTTCAACTGGAAAGCTTATAGCTTGTTAAGGTGTTAGTGTCCGTTTATCAACTGGCACTACCCCAGTCTGTCAAGGCAGTTATCCCCACCTCACCCCATCACCATCCCATATTCTTAGGATCCTTTGAAGATCATTTTATAAAATGTCACCTGGTCTCTCTTAACCTAATTTCCATTTGGCCTCGAACTTTAGAAAGGATTGAAGGGCAGTGAAGATTTTTATATGAGAATCTGTGTGCTGTTCAAATCCTTTGTAAAGAAGTGTTGGACTAGAAACTTCTGTGAATGGTGGGATTCTAGAATAGTGTCTGCAGGGATTTCAGTGTTCATTGCGGTGGCTGGGAGGAAAGGGGAATGTCCGTGTAGTCTTCAGTCTTTAAGAGAAACTTTAGACTAAGGAAATTAAAGCCAGTAGAGGAGGAGCATCATTCTGTGGGTTGTCAGGTTACAAGAAGAAGTTTTGGAGAACTTTTGGCTGCTCTCCACCTTGACTGTGTTTTATTTGCCAGGTACTAGTTTTTGCACATCCTTTAGGACTCATTTGCTAATCTGCGCGGAGACTTCCTGTGCTCAGAGCAGAGCATGGCCCATTCAGCATGCTCATAGCACATGGGCCAGCGCCCGCTGGATGCCCACCACTGCTGGAACTGCTGACAGATTCAGAGGCAGTTTCTCAACTTCTCAGACAGCCTTGGGTGGGTGAAGGGGAATCCCTTGAAGGCAGCTGGTAGGGGCCACAGGAGCAGTACAAATGTAATTAGGGGGATATTTCTGCCAGAATGCCAAATGGCATGCTGTTCTGACCTGTCAGACTACTTCCCTCTGTAGTTTCACATCATAATCAGTGAATGAAAGCTGTGGTGCAGGAGAAAATAAAATTGCAGAACAAAGTCAAAAACTATATGGTAGCAAGGAGAGTCAGTAGCAAGAAGCATGAAGCTTGCATTTAGTCCCCCACACACCAGCCAAGTGTTTGCTCAGAGTACACTGGAGTTCTGATGTCCAGAACCCCCCTCGGTTTATGTAGAGGTCTCAGTTTTATTCCAGAGTTAAATCTGTGTGGTAATAGGTAGGCGCGTCTAAAAATTCATATAAGCTATAAATCCAGATTGATTTCCTCATTCAAAAAACGATTTGGGAATGGAAGAGTGTAGGGCCCTCTGGAAAAAGAAGCAGGCTGTGATGTGAGCTGAGGGCTACAATGAAATGGGGAGTCAATGAGGCAGAGAGAAAGGGGTGGTGTCTTGCAACAGCAACTGCAGCAGCGAGGGACTTAGACCTTTTCTGAATGAGTAAACAGATGAGATCGGAGTCAAAGGGCCCACAGAAGAGAAAAAAGGGGTGGGGGCCTAATTTGAGGCCACAAAGGAGGCAATGCCAAGAATTAACTAGAGGTGCATAAACACTAGTCCCTCTTAAATGTGTGTCTTCCCAGTGCACATCTGTTCCCACTGTCAAACTCTCTAGCCACATGCCTGGGGCTGATAAGAGAGATGTCTAGTCCCTGAGATAAGCACTGTGCTTTTCCTAGTGCCATCCTTTATCTTGTTCTGCCCACATTTGGGATGAGAAACTCACATCCCAGCACCAGACTGAAGTCCAACAAGTGACAGAAACCGTTTTTATCAGATGCCACTTCCATAATTATGCTTCTTCCCAAATTGCTGTAACTAAACAAAACATGGATTTATTGGTAGGCTTCTATGGGACAAGATGATAAAAGAGACTCCCTATGAGATATTTATAATCACATTTCGAAAAGCAGCCTGGGGGGGGGGGAATCAATCTATTTATGGAATTTCAGAGAAATCTAGAAGTTGATTAGATAATCCTTTTAATGGGTCAATCTAACCATGGAATATTTTTCTCTGCATATCTGTTCAGAAGACAGTAATGCTGAGTGTGTTCAGCTCTGGTCTAAATCTCAACCATGAGGAGGTTCTGTTGATTATAATCAAATATCCAGACAGGAAAGAACCGTCAAGAATTAGCTTTGTCTATGTCATCTCCAGACACTCATCACCTTTGAATGCAGGACTAACCATTCGGCAGAGTGTCCTATTTTCTCATTTTTGTCCTGTCTTTGTAATCATCAGTCATTTGTCACTGATATTATTATGAATTCTGGCATGCCTGAAGGATGTCATAGTATGGCTGATTGTCAGAACAGTTCAACAAAAGAACCGTTAGCAGTATCAGTGCAAAGGAGAATAATGATTTGGGATACCATAACATTTTACCTTGCAATTATATTGGAAGTTGGAAGGAAATGGTCAAGTCTGCATTGCAAGGTACATTTTATTTTTATAAGGCATATTTAAGAGAAGATCTTTAGAGTGTGTCTTAGAAAATGCTAAACCCTAAGCTGCCTCTGGTTGCTTGAGCATGTGTGCATGTGTGTGTATGTGACCGTGTGTCTTGTGCTCACAGGCATATTTGCATATTTGATTTCTGAATATGTATCTCTTGTAACTGAAATGCCTTTCAAGATCCTTTAGATATAAAGACCATGTGTTTGGGAGACAGTTATTTTCACTGGTTGCAATTCTGATTCCATTTTATTCAGGGCATCCTCGCTATTTTAATCAGCTGTCTACTGGATTGGATATGGTTGGATTGGCAGCAGACTGGCTGACCTCAACAGCAAACACTAACATGTAAGTAGCTGATTGCACAAAAACCTCTTTTGTGTAACTCACTTTGCACCATGGATTCTTCTCACTCTGGCTTAATTTAAAAAGAAGCTTCTATATGGTTTTGATTTTATCAAAGTATGGAAATTTTAAAAATACAAATGAGACTTTTTTAACCTTTGATTTAAAATAACATGTTGTATGAAAGGGAAATAGAGCCCAGTGTTGCCTTTTAAGTAGCTCCACTGTTTAATGTTCCGAATCCAATATGATAAACTACCCTGAGCATTATGCCAATATTGGAAGATCTTGACTTTAAGGCAATAGAAAAATGAGCAATATTTTAGACATCCTTTTATGGATGATTTTATATTGAATGTTATAATCCTTACATCTATGAATATAAATTTTTAAAAGGAGAAATTCTGTGATTATATAATAATAACTTATCCTGAGAAACACACATAAAATATGGTTGCTTCTATATTTCAGGTTCACCTATGAGATCGCTCCTGTATTTGTGCTTCTAGAATATGTTACACTAAAGAAAATGAGAGAAATCATTGGCTGGCCAGGAGGTTCTGGAGATGGAATATTTTCTCCTGGTATATATATATATATATATGTATTTCATTTTTCCTGTTTTGTTCTTCTGATATGCCATGTTATGAACTTAAGAAAATTAAACATCATTCTGTGTTTACCGTTAGGTTACCTAGGCTGTACGTTTATCAAAATAATGAGTGCGGCTGAGTCTACTGGGCACACCTTCAGGCTTGTTAATTTGTGCTTGAACGACAGTCACTTGTGCTCAGTAGAGGGGAATCACCCCATACTTCTACCATGACCCCATATGTATGATGTTTGGACAGTGCTGGACAAAAGAACAGTGATTGCTAATACGGAAATTCACCTTCCTGCATTTCCCAGAATCAGTGAAATGAAAACAACGTAATTTAAGACATTTAATACACCACTCGGTGTGTGAAGGTGTGTATTGAGCTGTATCTCCTCAGAAGAGCCTATTCATTCCCTTCTCTAGTCTCTGGAATGATGAGCAGGAAAGTGGATTTAGAGTAATTTCAAGGGGGGCAAAGAGTACACAGTCGTTTCCATTTTGCCTTGGATTACCAGCCACTGCATACTAAGCTCCATTATTTACAGTTCTTCCAGCCCAGGGAATCAACATGAAACAAAATGTTGTGCATTTAGCTCAGAGATGTGACCTTGACTTGATTCATAGATGAAAAAGAAGTTAAGGAGGCAATGGGAAAAGTCACTGACCCATGAAAAAGAAGATTAGTGTCTGAGCAGTTCCTAATCAGTGAGAGGAAGCCAGTCCTCAAGACACTGTGATGGGTGGGTCCAACAGGAGAGGCCAGAGGCACACCTGCTGTTGTCAGACCCCTTCTAAGAAAATCTGTAAAGGTGGGTGAGCGGTGAGAGAAGAAAACAAAGGTGTGAGGATGAAGCAATGATCAAGCAGCAGTGGTCCAGAGGACAAGACTCACACGTTTGCCTGACCATCTCTTATCTGTTACTTTATGCTTTTAGGGTTATAGCATGTCTTTACACATGCTAAAGGGAAAGTGTTAGTTAAATGGAACAGAAAATTAGCCTTAAAAAAAACAGTCATTGCACACTAGTCCTGATGGATTCTTTAATTTTCTAGGCAATTTAGTACTTAGTCTCCTCTGATGCTAAGTTTGTGGCTTTTTCTTTACTGTCTGAAATTGATGCTTGGACTGTATATTCAATTCAGGAAGAACTAGGTGCAGTTACAAGGGTTGCAACATCATTGCTACTTTGTTAATTCTCTTCTAGGGTTGACTATAGGATTGAGCTGTCCCTGAGATGTATTAAGAGCAATGTGGTTCAATTTGAATGGTTCATAGAAATAGGAATCTATTGACTCTAAAATTTTGGCTAGACTACATAGGCGCCATCCCTTATTATCTAGCTTGCCTTGGAACTTGCATGCCCCAGAAAACATACACCCTAAGAGAGAATCCTCATAGATGTTTCTGTTAGATTCTGTAAGACCCAGCAGATGGTGGCAAATCATTCTGTGGAGACTAAAGTTTCATCCTTTGACCCTGAGGACTCATATATTCTCTCCTTGGTGTGAAAACCATAGACATAGTGTCACATTGTTATATAAATATTCCAAATTCAGAGGGGACAGCAATAGAAAGCAAGAGGAACCTGTTTCTGCTCAACTTCCTGTAAAAGGAATAACAGTTCTTAGCATCCTTATTTGCTAGTAGTTTTATTAGATAATAACTAGCCTTGTTCCTGCACTAAGGAGTCAAATGATACAAGGGGTGGGAGTAGGGAAAGTAGGACCACAGGCACATCCTGGCTTCCTGGGATCCTGGGAATAAATATTAAGAGTTGAGTGTTTGACTTGGACAAAATGCTTAACTTGGTTTGACTGTTGTTCAGTTCTGTTCATTCCTACCACTAACACCCAGAGACTTGGTGCTTCCTGGAACTGTCCTAATGACTTCTAGAAGAATTCTGTATATGTGATGTTACCTACACTTGAGAATCAGAGAGCACTCTGAAGTTTGGCAGGTCATAAAGAGTAAGGGAAAAGATCACAGGCTTAGTCACAGGTCTTCTAATATAGTCAAGGCCGTAGGACTTGGGTGTCTATTCTTATTGTCATGTGGTTTTGCACAAATCTCTTCATCATCCTCAGAGCTGCAAAGCCTTTAGCTGTATGATGACTGAGGTGCAAAGTGAGGAGCAGCAGGTGAGGGCTGGAAGCTTCTTGAGTAAGTACACTTGAAGAGTACTTTCTTTGCATACATTCTCCTTTCTCTTCCACCCCTTCCCCCAGACTAGGAAATGTAGCAAGAGCTACAGTCCTAAACCAGGCAGTCAAGGTCACCCTCCCAAAAGAACAACTGGCAATGTCAGTGGATATTTTGGGTTGCCATGGCTTGAGAGAAAATGTTGCTTGCAACTGGAAGCCATGAACGAGGCTAAACACCCCATATTGCTGAAGACAACTGTTTTTTTGTTGTTGTTGTTGTTTTAAGGAATTCTCTAGGTCAAAATGTTATAAGTGCTAAAATTGAGAAAACATAGCCAGAGTGAAACTTCCTTAAAGCTCTCCTCTGATTCTGGCATCAGACAAATCCAGTCTGTCTTTCAACTGGGCATCTAATCCGAACGTTCTTGACTTGTTTTCTGCTGTCCTGGATCTGTAAGGTCTAACAGGGTAGTAACTGCCTGTATTCTGACTGCAGAGATGCCAAGGTCTGGTTAATGGATGCTTTAGACCAAACGGCCTTCTTGAGACTCCCAGGACTCGTGAGACAAAGGCCATAGCCTAGTCTGGGCTCTTCAGCTTGGCAGACCCTGCCTGCTCCTCAGCTAAAAGAAAAGCTTGATCAAACCACCCATAAAATAATCCTAAGAATTTCTCCTTTGGAGTGGGGCAGAGATCATACTTTCACTCACTCTGCTGTGCATTTATGCTTCCTGGAGAGCGGAATTCCTAAGCTTCTCAGCAATTCTGAAGAAAGTTCCATTGCTTGTTAAGCAAGACCCTCCTTACAGAGCAGAGCAAAACATTATCATGCCTTGGGGAAACACAGGAAATGTAGTTCTATATGGAGCTGAAATCAGCAAACAGCATTGTGTTAATGAATGCAATTGTATCTCAGGGATATCTTTGAGAAAAAAGATTGTTCGGAGAACTGAGCCAAGGGTGCTGAGATTAATGAACATGGATGTTTATCCTGAGTTCTGTGGAACCATTAGCAGCCTGCAGCAGCGCCAGGAGTTTATCCGTCTCAATTCAAGCACAAGATGTTGCTGGAAAAGAAAAGAAATAGCTATTTGTCACATCACAGCACCAGGATTTTACAGGCCTGATGCTGACTGGCTATGCTTATAAACTAGAGAGGAAAGAAAAAAAAATCTCTTTTCAAAAGTCTCTGCAAGATGGACATTGTGGTATATACATGAATCCCAGAATTTGCAAGGCTGAGACAGGAGAATCATGAGTTCAAAGCCAGCCTGTACTACATGATAAGACCTTTTAAAGAGCTAACAGAAACAATGGAATAAGTGAAAATCCCCTTTGAGGTGCTTTTGTTTTCTTAAGACAGGGTCTTTGTAGTCCTGGATGTTCTGGAGCTCACAATGCAGACCAGGCTGGCACACAAGCCCCACCATGCGCAGCATTTGAGGTGCTTTTCTTAGTGTGGGTGGACCCAGTGTATTTTCCTGAATCCTCTTAGCTATACCTTTGAATATGAATTTGAATATACTTCCAAGGAGCTATAAGGATTTTCCCTGAAATTTAGGTCAGGGTTTCTTCAACTTTTCCCACTCAATGGCCCATTTTAACCTGGGAAGTTTGTAGTCTTCCTGGGTTTGTAGACATATAGAATAAGCATATAAATAAAACAAACTGGTAATAAGTCATATATATTATTTTAAATTCTTTGTTATGTATTTAAGACACTTATTGAAGGCAAAAAAACAAATTTGCATAATAATGAGGTAGGTATGTTTGGTTTACAGAAAGAATTAAGCCTTGGCTGAATACTGGATGCTGCAGTATGTAAAGGCATCACCATCTTTACGCTTACTCCTTATTTTAATTTTATAATCGTGTGTTCATGCACAGTATCAAATGTCAGAAGCATACTTAGGCCGTTTCAGAAATTGTTGAGAATTCTGTCCTAGTCCTAACCAGTGTTCATCAGTTATTTGTGATAGTCATGCTAGCAACTCAGACAACAAATTTAAAAATCAAACATTCTAACACAGTACAGTCCAGATACATTTGTACATACCAGCTAAGAGCAAGGATGGAGAAATATTAAAAGTTTCTTTCCATAAGCAAGCCATTCATTTTCTGTAATAGCAGAAAATTTTTGTTTGTACAGTAAAAACATACAATAATCTTGTATCTGATGTGTCAGGCAGTGTTCATTGGCATTGCACAGCATGATGTGGTGAGCCTACTGAACATGGTATGTGTGTAAAACCAAGGTTACAGTGATGCTGTGTGATGTAGCGTGCGCAAACACTGCCAGAAACATCTTAGATTCATTATATGTTTGATTTTGAAATAATTTTTGTTATCGTGTATTCACAGTGTTTTTACTGCTGGCAACTTTGCCAACCCTCCCCCCACCATCAAATTCAGTTATAGGATCCCATACTGGGCTGTGACCCACTGTCCTAGATCAGTGGAAGTAAAGGATATAGCTTGCATGAGAAATGTTGATGGGGAATAGAAAAACATAACTGTTTCTGTGTCCTGTAGGTGGCGCCATCTCCAACATGTATGCCATGCTCGTTGCCCGCTACAAGATGTTTCCAGAAGTCAAGGAGAAAGGGATGGCTGCAGTGCCCAGGCTCATCGCCTTCACATCAGAGCATGTATGTGTTTATGTTCTTTCCAGCATAGATTATATCGATGAACCCAGTTGAATGACAAACACTTGGAAATACGTTTTCTACGGATGTTCTCTTTCCAAGGGATACTTCTTGAGAGAATGGGAGGGAGAGTTGAGTTGAGCTGAGCTGTCTATTGGGATAGCTTCCTTGTCCCTGAAATGTAGGGAAACTGCAAAGATAAAGCAGAAGTTACATTTTAAAGAAGTTTTATTTTAAAGAATCATTTTTAATTATGTGTGTGTGTGTGTGTGTGTGTGTGCGCGCGCGTGCGTGCGCGCGCACGCACATGTATGCTGGTGCTCACAGAGGCCAAAGTTCTCCCTGAAACTGGAGTTACAGGCAGTTGTGAGCCACACAGCATGAATGGAAACTAGACTACTTCTCTACAAGAGCTATACCTGGTTCTCTAACCACTGAGCCAATCCAACCCCAAAGCAGAATATTCTTTCATTCTGTCTCCAGGTCTCCATGTCTCTGCAATACTGTGTGTTGAGAGATAGGAGCAAGAGAAAAGGCAGTATGATTTTCAACTCTTCCAAATCACTGAAACAATGCTTTATTATAATCCAAACCCTACAAAGCCCTGTGGATGTTCTCTTTCTGATTAAAGCTGCAGTTTTAGTGATTAGATAGATTCAACACTTATGGTGCCTTTGGCCATTTAACTCTAATCTCTCTGACTTGATTTAATGCTGTTTTGGTTATATTTTAGCACAAACCAGCTTAGGGAAGGATTTAGTCTCCCTGCAGGTTTCAGGCAGTTCAGTCCGTTGTGGTGAGAAGGCATGGTGGAGCAGAGTAGTTCCCCTTGTGATGGGCTGGGAAGTAAAGCCTGGGCAAGCTTTCTCCTGCCGGCTTTTACTCTGTTCCCACCTCCAGCTCCCCATTCCAGGATGGGTCTGACTTTCCTCAGTTGATCATCTTTGGAAACACTACCATGGACATACCAAGAAATGCTCTGTACCAACTAGATCATTCTAAATCTAGTCAAACCACCAAGGAAGATTAGGCATCGCAAGTACCATAAAGATATGACATAGAGGCTTTTTCTATCTGATCTTTGAGCCAGATAGCTAACCAAGCACTTGCTCCTGCCTACCACTGGGGTGCTAGCTAGGCAGAGGCGAAGAACTCTGGTCATCCTTGTTGAATCCCATGACATAAACCTTCATGCACCTCCTATGCCCTTCAAAGACCACACACTACCCCTCTACTACCAGGTAGGCATGAGGATGATGCTACAGTCTGTTTCATATTTGTTTCAGAGAACCAGCTTTGCGTTCTCTGTCACCTGACAGTGCAGAGCAGCAAAGGACTTACATTGCAGCAGCCCATGCAACACTATAGGGACAGCCCCTGCTGACACAGGCCTCAAGATTTGACCCCCAGCAGGAAATAGCTTTAATTTTAGCATTTCTATGGATAAGACAAGCATAATGTTTCTTCTCCCTATTTCCCTAAGATGGATTCAGATCCACAAATAGTTAAATATTTCTGTATGCTCAGATGTTTTGATGTTAGACATCCTTTTCTTTGGCTCTCTAAGGTTGGTCTAGCAGCAAGCTGCCCTGTGCTCTCTGGCAGTTAGCTCTGCCTTCAGCATTAGCTTTTGGCAAAAATTGATATAGCCTTTTCTAGAAAGCTCAGACCATATGCTGTGAGAGTACTTTTGCTATGCTTTCTGCTCTTTGTATTATACTTGAAGTCCTTTCCTTCATTTTTAAGAGAAAGAAATGCAACTCAGCTGTTTATATCTCAATGCACATAATTAAAAATGATAATTTGATTATGAACCTTATCTAGAGTACCAATTGGCTATGGCTTTAGACTTTCCCCTTTGACACATGAATTATTGTCTTTATTGTGTGACATAGCTTCTTACTCCTTGACAGACTAAAAACACTTCAGTAAGTAAAGAGAATAAACTTACTTCTTGTGGAATGGTAGAATATACACATAAGAACTGGTGCAGACCCACACAGGCTCTGCATATTCTGCTAGAGTCCCTCTGAGTCATAGGAGCTTTGCTAATGTTGATTTAGTGGCCTTTTTTTCTTAGTGTCTTCCATTCCTTCTAGTGCTTACACTCTTTCCACCTCATTTTCCATAGGGTTCCCTGAGCCCTGAAGGGAGGGATTTGAGAGAGACATTCTATTTAGGGCTGAGTGTTCCAAGGTCTCTCACTCTATTGTCTGGCTGTGGGTCTCTGTGTCTGTTCCCATCTGTTGTAGGAGGAAGCTTCTCTAATGATGGCTGAGCAAGACACTGATCTATGAGCATAGCAGCATGTTATTAGAAATTATTTTGTTGCTACATTTTTTTCAAACAGTAGTATTTGGTTTTACCCTAGCTTCCTGGGCAAGCTAGTCTCAGGTTCTTGGTCACTCACGCACTGATGAGTATGGGTTTCACCTTGTAGAATGGGCTTTAAAGCAAATCAAGCATTGGTCACCCCCACAAGCTTTGTGCCACCATTGTCCCAGACTACCTTGTGGGCAGAACTATATTATAGATCAAAGTGTTTATAGTTGAGTTGTTTCTTTTACATTTCTTCTTTGGTAGTGGCCTCTTCCTTACCAAAGATGCTGGAACACAGGGCTGAGGGTTCTATGTAAGCACAGCTCACCTTCTCCATGTTCAATGAGTTGTGTAGGTGTTGTAAACTTAATGTTCTGTACTTTCCACGATCAAGTTTCTGGCTCAAGCTTTTCTTCATTTGAAGGTAATACTAGAGTATTACTTCTTGCTGGTGCCTGGAATAAACCTTTCGGTCTCCAACTGCCCCAGCATCTATGTACACCACTCACCCAGACCATTTTAGTACAGACAGATGCTTACAAGTAATTTCTGCTCTTGAAACTCCACACAGAAAACTCACTTGATTCTCATCTCTATTCCTGTGGGTCCGATTCATCATTTTCTGTAGCTTCCCTTGGCATCAGGGCCAAGGTACCTGTTCCCTATGTATTGTAGAGTTTACAATCATTTTGTTTGCACCTGCTCCTGAAATAGCTCCAAAAAGTCTGAAGGAATAAAATTATCAAGTCCTTCCTAAACCAACTTTTCTCCAGTCTAACCACGGTCAGTTCTTGCAGTGGGGTTTTTCCCATAAGGCAGAAACACAGGTTGCTGCTGTGCTGGTGTGGGAAGGAGCAGGGAGGGCAGGTGGCTGCAGTGTCTTCCTTGGTCTTTGAAAGGTGTTCCCAGCCTAATCCCTACAGGACTCAGATGAAAGCCACAGAAAGCACTTGCCTGGTGCCTGGGGCACAGGAATCTCTACATGTGTGTGCAGGTACTTTGGACAATCTTGCTTTATAGAGGGAGAAACCAAGCTCCAGGTAGGCCAGTGTGGCAGAGCCAGATCTCCAGCCCCCAGTCCTCTGCCAACCAGCACTGCTCTTTCAACTACTGGGTGGGAGACAGAATGCCTTCTGTGGCTGGGAGCTCCAAAGTTACTTGCAGTGTCTTGTCTCAAGTGATATTTTTCTCAGCTGGTTATTGCAGTGATAATAATTTCCTGGTATACCAAACCAGGTCGAGTTACTGTTATTTGATTCTGGGTGCTGATTTTGTCATCTGGCATGTTTAATTGGAACCATTGTCCTAGTTAGGGTTCCTATTGCTGTGATAAAACACCTTGACCAAAATTAAGTTTGGGAGGGAAGATTTATTTGGATTACACTTCTACATCACTATTCATCAATGAAGGAAGTCAGGACAGGAACTCAAGCAGGTAAGGAACCTGAAAACAAGAGGCCATAGAGGGATGGTGCATACTGGCTTGTTCATCATGGCTTGCTCTGACTGATTTCTTATAGAACTCAGGACCATCAGTCCAGGGTGACACCACCAACAATGGGCTTGGCCCTTCCCAGTCAATCACTAGTTAAGAAAGCGCTCTACGGGCTTGCCAACAGCCCAGTCCTATGGAGGTGTTTATCCCTCCTCTCCACTGACTCCACCTTGTGTTAAATTGACATAAAACTATCCAGCACAGCCATGGAGAGGAAAATAATGTTTAGCAACTCCGTAGCCATCACATGCAACTGGAAACTTCACACACTGGGTGGGGGAGGTCATGCTTTGTTTCCTACAAGACATCCCCCCACCAACCCAGAGACCAGTGCAGACTGGAACTTCATCTAGAAACCAAAGCAGACTAAAACTTCATCTAGCTGATTAGTAGAACACGCTATTATATTTTTCTCTGTGTTCAAATGAACTGCTTTCTTGAAAAACTTGCACAGGACTAAATTAAACAAGCAGCATCAGAAGTGGATGAGTCACTGAGCTGTAACAGAGACAGTACTGAGGCCATGAGCAAACCGTTCTAAGATGATTTCCCTGCACTATACAGCCTCACAAAATCATGACACTGGAAGGAACATACAGCGTCATCATTCCACATTCATCTTCTGCTGAATTATCACCTCCCCCAAGTCTTTCCTAAAAGAAAATCTTGAGAAAAAGTAATCTAATGACTTCTAAGTAAGTTCTTAAAAGCTGATATAAGGAGAGTTAAAATCCTAGCTCAAATCTCATCTGTCACTCTGAACCCTCAAAATCCCCCACTTTGAGATGTATTTCACATTTCTTTTTTCTTCTTGTGACATAAGCTCTTTCAGAAATAGCTTCCATGAAACAGCACAATGTCATCAAAGAAAAACAACCTTCATAATAGTAAGAGAGAGAAGGATCTTTTAAGCAGGACATAGTCGCTCTAATTTTCACAAGTCAACTACTGCATGTGTCTGTGTCTTCTAAAACACACCTTCTCAGGCCTCTCATGGGAAGTAGGAAATGACTCTCCTAAGAACATTAAAAAAACAGTTTACAGTTTTTATATGTGACATTCTGGAGGGAGTCAATTTCCAAAGTCTTTCTCCTTAAGTAACAAAAATACAAAAAGGTTTGGTTTTTTGTTGTTGTTGTTTTGTTTTGTTTTTTTAATGTTCCACAGAGCATGGAAAGGGTGACCCTCA